ATGGCGGACGCCCGAGAGGAGCGTCGGGGGGTAAGGGGGAGGGGGAAGAGGGAAGGGGGGAGGGGGTAAGGGGGAGGGGGAAGAGGGAAGAGGGGAGGGGGGTATGGGGGAGAGATAGAGCGGTCGAGTTGGATTTCTGCGCACGAAAGCCTTGACGACCTTGTGAAACTCGGCACCAACTGGTCGTCGGGCACGGAGGTAATGAGTTAACAGAAGAGCAGATTTAGGGAAGGAATAAGCGCCAGAGACAAGGACGTCCTGATGCCGAAGGTGAAGCCCCATTCCCCGTATAAGGTGAAGCCTCATTCCCCGTAGAAAATGAAGCCCGTTCCCCGCCGAAGGTGAGGCCCATTACCTGCAGGGCCAGCTCCGATAGAGATAGATTTGTCCCAAACGGGTGCAAGGCCTCCCTCTCGGCGTTCCCGCCGTCTGTACACCAGCCCCGATCATTCGGTAACACTGCGTACGGCAACGGGTGGCCGATGAGTTTCGAGAAGTTTCTCGGCTTTCGCACGCAGAAATTCCGAGACTCCTTTAGCACGTGAACCGTTTGCAAGAGCGTACCGTGCACGCGCCGCTGAGAGTGGCAGCTTTTTCCCAAGGTCAAGGAGGGCCCCAGCACGTTTATTTGCCTAGGATCCCCCAAATCATAAATCCGATCCAAAGCATGGATCATATCAGCATGAAGATCTTCGTGGGTCCCCACCTTCCTCGGAAGTGATCTACCGACCTCTTCGGTCGTGCGAACGGTCAGAGATAAAAAAATAAAATAAAAAACGCTGTCGAGTGCGGCCTTGGGCATTGAGGATCTACGTCTCAGACCCATCTACAGATCCCAGATCCATCCATCCATCCATCCATCCATCTACACTCCTGCATCCCCAAAGCCAGTTTACTTTTGGATCGATGACTATTGTTCTCGAATGGAGGCAACCATGCTTTCAAGCTTACTCCGATAGAACTTCCCGTTTCCAGCGTTCCTCGTTATTTCGGGAAATCTGTCATTTCTTCCTCAGCCCTAAAATTTAACGAGAACGTCAAATGCAACCGATTCCAAAAAGAATCGAACACTCGCTGGTTCGCAGGAAAGTTTAGTCGACAAGGTGGTAGTTGAAAGCCAGCTGTCGGTCCGACCGTTCGACGACGGAGACTCCGACGTCTCCGTCGGGTCCATCAACTCCATCACCAGTTGATGGAGTTGATGGATGATTGCTAAAAGGGATGGGACAGGGGGAAGAATGTCCCGCCGAATCGCATCGAAGGCTTTCTGATCGGTGGGGACTCGAATCGGTTCTGCTCTCTTCGCCGTGCTGGAACTGCTGCCTTTCATGAGAACTGCCGCTGAAAGGGTGTAGTCGTGAACGAACGAGCCAAACGTAAACTGAGGTCGTGAATTCCCGATTCACGAGACGAGCGCACGAGTTCAAAATGCCAAAGAGATCCCATCGTCCTCTTGATTCCCCCAGGGATTTTATCTCGAGCACGTCTCCAACAGAATCGGCAACATAAAGCATGCATTTTGCTTTCAGCTGCAGTTCATCGGTTTTCTGATTGAATCGGGCACGACTGTCACGTCCTTTGCTGATTTTTCAATAAAAAAGATTCTCTCAAGTGGCATGAGAAAAAGTACAGGGCATGGCAAAAATGACCAACGAATTTTAACCAACGCAACTTCTTTCCACGTTGGAGCTATTTTCTGGAATCCTTCATTTTGAATAGAAGGATGTGTCTAACGTATCTTCTTACATAACTCGAACTGGTATTAGGGAGAGTGGTCAATGTAGAAATTATCCATGGGGGAGAGTGTGGGAGGGGGGGAGAGACTTCCCGAGATCCTCTACATGGTTTTCGGAACTTTTTCCCCGATGCGAAGGCAATGCAGCAAATATCTGAGTATCTGTTCTAAGTTAATACGGATTTCAATTCGGGCTACATCTGAAAAAGAGGTAAAAAGGGTCTAGCCACTCAAAAGGGACAAAAAGTCCCTCTCCATTTTCAATTTCTAATATTTGCACATGGATTTGCTTTGGCGAAATCGTTTTAAAAGAAATTACTAAGGACTGTTTAAAAAAAAATACCAGTCGATGTACAATACAGGTTTCGGAAAAATAGCTCCAGTGAGGGCAGACAGTGAAAGAATACAAGTCATGAGCCATTTTTCCTCCATACCCTATATGTACTTAGGGTTGAAATTACATTAGGTAAACGTTTACCTTCTCTGTAGCCCGTCCGGAGACCTGTCAGAGCTGTCCGCGTGCCCATCGGAAGTCCACACAGGTTGACCTTCCTCTTTCTCCTCCGTCTTCCGCGTCAGACGACTTTGAGGACGCTGCAGGGAATGGCGTTCCATCTCGTCGATGCGAGTGGATGGAATATGGGGGAAACGAGACTCACTGCATCTGGATCCACCGGTTCCGAGCATTCCACGATTGTGGCATTCATAGGCTTGAAGCCATTCACTTCGTCCTGAGTCTGATACAAATAGTTGATCTGGAAAGGAGCCNTCCAAAAAGAATCGAACACTCGCTGGTTCGCAGGAAAGTTTAGTCGACAAGGTGGTAGTTGAAAGCCAGCTGTCGGTCCGACCGTTCGACGACGGAGACTCCGACGTCTCCGTCGGGTCCATCAACTCCATCACCAGTTGATGGAGTTGATGGATGATTGCTAAAAGGGATGGGACAGGGGGAAGAATGTCCCGCCGAATCGCATCGAAGGCTTTCTGATCGGTGGGGACTCGAATCGGTTCTGCTCTCTTCGCCGTGCTGGAACTGCTGCCTTTCATGAGAACTGCCGCTGAAAGGGTGTAGTCGTGAACGAACGAGCCAAACGTAAACTGAGGTCGTGAATTCCCGATTCACGAGACGAGCGCACGAGTTCAAAATGCCAAAGAGATCCCATCGTCCTCTTGATTCCCCCAGGGATTTTATCTCGAGCACGTCTCCAACAGAATCGGCAACATAAAGCATGCATTTTGCTTTCAGCTGCAGTTCATCGGTTTTCTGATTGAATCGGGCACGACTGTCACGTCCTTTGCTGATTTTTCAATAAAAAAGATTCTCTCAAGTGGCATGAGAAAAAGTACAGGGCATGGCAAAAATGACCAACGAATTTTAACCAACGCAACTTCTTTCCACGTTGGAGCTATTTTCTGGAATCCTTCATTTTGAATAGAAGGATGTGTCTAACGTATCTTCTTACATAACTCGAACTGGTATTAGGGAGAGTGGTCAATGTAGAAATTATCCATGGGGGAGAGTGTGGGAGGGGGGGGAGAGACTTCCCGAGATCCTCTACATGGTTTTCGGAACTTTTTCCCCGATGCGAAGGCAATGCAGCAAATATCTGAGTATCTGTTCTAAGTTAATACGGATTTCAATTCGGGCTACATCTGAAAAAGAGGTAAAAAGGGTCTAGCCACTCAAAAGGGACAAAAAGTCCCTCTCCATTTTCAATTTCTAATATTTGCACATGGATTTGCTTTGGCGAAATCGTTTTAAAAGAAATTACTAAGGACTGTTTAAAAAAAAATACCAGTCGATGTACAATACAGGTTTCGGAAAAATAGCTCCAGTGAGGGCAGACAGTGAAAGAATACAAGTCATGAGCCATTTTTCCTCCATACCCTATATGTACTTTCCCAACTTTAATGTAATCCATTTGCAAATGGAAGAGACATCGGGCAGGCCTCTGGACAGTCTCGACAGGCGCACGGGTAGCCTTCAGGTGTGTCCAACTGGAAGGAGAAAGAGGAGGCAGAAGGCGGTCAGACGACTTTGAGGACGCTGCAGGGAATGGCGTTCCATCTCGTCGATGCGAGTGGATGGAATATGGGGGAAACGAGACTCACTGCATCTGGATCCACCGGTTCCGAGCATTCCACGATTGTGGCATTCATAGGCTTGAAGCCATTCACTTCGTCCTGAGTCTGATACAAATAGTTGATCTGGAAAGGAGCCTGCCCATTCGAAATGTTACCCAAGTAATTGAACATGTCATGTGGCATGCAATTTTGATTGAAACCACAAAGGAATGGCAATGCAAGATCTGCTGTTGGCCCATAGCGGACGTTATCGCAAGAGTCATATGTCCCATCTACATATGCTTCGGAAATGTAGTAGTCCATCTCTCCAACAGCCATTTGACCTAGAACGGAAGAATGAATGAATATTGGTATTTCTCATGCGCTTCCACCCAAACAAAATTGTTCACATTGTCGCAAATTTCTTTTCGATCATGAGGAGACCTGACAAGTAATTTTAGTTCATCACGCAAATGACACCTACGTAGGGCCGGCCTTAACTAATTCGGTGCTCCCTGAAAAGAGATTCCCAACGGCTCCCCACCCCGAAGGGAGAAAGGTCAATCCCTAGCGTCCAAAATGACAATAAAACGGAAGGCACTTCCATTTTCTGAAGTAAAACTGAGGGTGACAAAAATAATTGCTTCATACATATGGTTACGTTTTGACGCCTCTAGTGATTTTGAGCCCTATGCACGTGTGGCATGTGCCTAAGGCCGACCTTTTTGTTCATTGGAACAAAAGAGAGTTCTGAAACTCACCAGGCTTTTCATCACTTGGGAATGCCTTTGTGACTTTCAAGAAGGTGGACTGAATGGGTGAGCAGGTGATATAACAGATGTGTTGCAGAAAGTTTCGGTAGCATGAGGGGCAACCAGCCAGAAATTGCCTTGGGAGAGAGAGACTATCCACCATCGCAGTGACCTGGTTCTCATGACAGCACACTGTCACATCTTCACCGTCATCTATACGATACAGAGGAATGATCATCTTTTACTATGAAAGGTGGCTCGAAGCAAATACCGAATGATTACAGGGAGCAACTACAGAAGTCGATAGCATTCACAAACATGCAGAAAAATTATCCACCAAGCATAAGCTTCGGAAACAAATCGTGTGGAATATGGTTGAAAAGCTATTTTTTTTGCTCACTCAAGTCCTGGAAGAACTCAGGACATGTTTCCAGGAGAGTCTCGTAAATAGGGTTCGAAGAGGGAATGGGAATCGGAGGGCCATTATATACGCAGGGTATAGGAGATGGTCCAACGATCCCACCATGGACGCCACAGCGATCATAGATGACACAATGGGGATCATCGTCAGCTTTCCGCACCTCGGTCTCCTATTGTACAAAAACGAACTCATCACATGGCACAAGCAGTCAGCATCTTGATGGGTCTTGAAGCAGTCAGCATCAGTCAGCATTCATTTCCACACTGATATACCCGTGTTTCACTTCAGCACCATATATGCAATACGAGCCAACATTGAAAATGCTAGCTTCGAATTTCAAGAATGTGGCACGCTCTGATCCTACAAGCAATGACAGCAGCATGGGAAAAAGGAAAGAGATCTCAATAAGTGGATGGGATCATCTGTCCATCTTTCATGCAATGATTTCTGGAGAACTGAGACACGGATTTCTGCAAGTGGTTCACGAGGAAGAGGCTACGACATAATCTTGTTCCAGAATTCGGAATGGGGTGATACCGTCCAGATTAAGGAAGACGTGAGAGACCCATCCCCTCTTTTTTTGCATCTTGTTTCTGAAATGCTGAAATGAAAACAGGACCCACCGTGTCGGATTACCTGGTTTCATCTTCACGAACAAATGTTTCTAAGTGTGGAGCGCATAAAAAAGGCAGGATACTACGGCGATCACGGTTGACGCAATGTGGAACATCGACTGCTATGTGCAATGCAATTTTCTATAATACATGTCCGTGTAGTCGATTTGTAACTTCATTCCATTTCAAACACTCGCTTCCCCCAAAGTTTCCAGTGCAGAAAAACAAAGCTTAGCTGTTCTTTAATGGGTATAATAATTTATTATTATTATTATAAAACGTTCGAAATTGTAATATTGGAAGTTGAAAAACGCAAAATCATTCATGCATTATATTTTGAGAATAACTTCAAATATTTTAAAGGAAATCTGCATGAAGTTTTGAAGAAGTGAATTCCCCCGGCTTTCCTTCGTCCCCTGATGCTGCTGACACCATCCCTTCCGACACGTCCGAAGTGCGAATTCAAAATTTGTTCTTCTGATATTTGGCGCCTAGGGACTCTGCAACGTGCACCGTGGCCTTACCAGCGAGTCCCACGAGACAAGATTGAGGAACCGTTCTCGAGCGTGTCCCAGCCGAAGCCTCTCATCGAGGAAGTCCGGATGGAAAATGCACGGTGATGAAACCCCTCGCGTTCGCTCGAGGGGAATCCTGCGACTTCCATCCCTCCTTATCTCGGGGCATACTTCGATTCAATGTTAATTTTAGATTATATCCCCCCCTGCTCACGAATCGGTCGTGGGTATCGAGTTCGAATGCGAGCAGAATCTATACCCATTAGAATATGCTAATTTTTGTCGCAGGTACGTAGAGACAATGAAGGATGCAAACATTTTGATTTCCTCGATCGCGTCGGCGCCATAACTCGAGAGGGAGAGAGACGCACAGCATCTGCCTCGCTTCCTCGGATCGCACAGCGACCAGGGAGAAAGACTGGAGGCGAAAACGGAGGCAATCGAGCTCGCGAATTCAAGGTCATTCCCTCCGAGTTTCACGCCGTCCAGCTCTCCAAGTTAGCCTCGGTGTGGCGAAATCCGAGAAGGCGAAACGAACGAGGCCCAAGAACCACGCGATTCTCCAAAGTCCATCCGTGAATCCAAGCTCATCGGAATCTTCGACCGAAGCCATTTCAACTCACCTGCTACAAAAGGACCACATTCGATCGGCAATCTCGAGAAGCCCAGGGAACTCCATTATTTTTTCACAGGCCATTTCTCTTCACGTTATCCTTTCTGGCTATTTGAAGAATTCAAGCCATGCATTTCCCTTTTTATTTTCAGCCCATCGAGGAGAACGTTTAAGATACAGGCGTAGTTCTTCGTGAAACCACGTTCTCAAAATTAACTTTCATCAGGCGTGACTTGAAGGTGAAAGCCGATCGTACCGAGGCCATTTTTCGAGTTCGGGGAAAGAGAGGAGAACTCCATGACTCACTCGAATGAGAAAGACCGCAAATGCGAAGAAAATTGCTCCTATAGTCGTATGATGCAGCATGTCGTTCCAACAGCACCTGCCAAAAAAAATAATTACATCTGAGATGAAGGTTTTCTTCAAACTCATGATACCGACCACTTGACATAGAGACCATTAAATGAAATCCTGCGGTTCCGCCATGGTGCCAACAAGGCACGAACCCATTTATTTTACGGTAATCCCTTAAAAGAACCCATAAAAAATGACAATATTTAAAGTCGATTCGTCCTCGGAAAACCGACGACCGTGCCCGTCCCTCACACCCACGACATTAGGGGCACGGATTCTCTTCGTTCATCACGCGATCGGTATCAAAGCACCTGCGCCGGCGGGAAACAGCCACACACGTTCTTTTCACCGCGGATTTCCTGCTAGCACTTCGCGATCCTCGCGTCCCAGCTCGCGTTCGACTCCGTTTCCGCCATCCTCACCTGATACACGGACGAACGGGGATCTTGCCACGAGGACTGTGGGAGCCACTTGCATCGGCACACGCGATGGGGAAAGGTGGTGATTCGCTTGTTTTCTCAAACTCCATGTCCATGGCTTTCTTTTATCAGGAATAGACAGGTGTCTCGGTTCGCACTTTTATCGGACGATTCTCGCGTTTTCCTCGCATCGTCATCCATCTGAAATGGTCGCAGAGCTATGTACAACATATCTGCACTTTAAGGAACCAGCTCGTGGCCTTCTGGTATTCATCACTTCTGGCATACCGATCGCAACCGACCGTATGCATGGACCTTTCGTCGGGTGACATGCACCAGACCCATTTAACTTTAAACCGATCCGATTACATTACGGTTCTCAGGGGAATCCGTGAGACGTAGAAAATCTTATTCCCATAGGAAACCGATTTCCATATTGAACCATCATTGAAAGAGATCGAAGCTAACCGGACCTTGTACACGTCACCCACGAAGGAAAATCTCCTTTGTGGGTGACTCGACGAAGTAGGAAAAGCGGGACTCTAGCCTGGGAACAAACTCAGGGGACCACATGCTACGAAATAGGAGGCCTGAGTCCGATGACGTCACACTTGCCAATTGAGTCCCACCTCTCTTTCCTCGTTGGGTCTGTACGCAACTAGCCGACCAGTTTTTAAAAAGGGAGCCAGGGGCGGAATGAAATTGAAATACACGAGTATTTTTCCAACTCTAGTGCAAGCCATTTGCATAAAGAAAAGGACGGCACGAATAGCCTTCAGGTGTATCGAACTGTAACTACGAAGGACGTTCCAAAAGTATCGAGACTCTGGCTATAACTTTCTTAATGTGTTTCCCACGAAAATCTAATCCAGTTTCCTTCAATGTGTAACAAATGCGCAATGCACACTCAGAATTACAAGTTGCTCTCTCTTGTGATTAACAAAATACAGGCAGTGAAAGGAACACATGGACCAGAAATTACAGACGCAACAACACATTGAGTCAACTTGTGGATCGTCATGAACCTTCTCCACTGGGTCCCCTTTGAGGTGGACGCATTTCTGCCACCCGATTCACATTTGTGGATCGATGCCCTGAACCACTCCTTGCCGATCTTGTTCTGCACTGTCTTCGTTTTTCTTCATTCTCTTCGCGAGAATCGAATCGAACCTGCCACGCAAGTGTTTCTTCATCTCTGGGAAGAGGGCAATATCCGAAGGCGCCAAATCTGGGCTGCAGGGTGGGCGGCTTAGCGTACTCCAGCCGAGACGCGCTAGCTCGGCCATGGTTGCTGCTGCGGTGTGGGGCCTTGCGTTGTCCTGCTCCAGCAAGATTCCTCTGCTTTTCATCCCCGAAAGCGCGTTGACGCGGGCGATGGTGGACTTCTCTGACCGCAAAGCAGTAGTAAGTCGAATTGATGAATCGGCCCTCAGGTAGGAAATCATGGTGGATTATGCCTTCCTGGTCCCAAAATGCCGTTAACATCACTTTTGGCTGACGAGGGACCTCCTTGGCTTTTAATGGCGGAAATCCCGTGGGACGCCACTGCTTGCTTTCTTTCGTCTGTAATTTTTAGTGTAAGTTTGTCCATCTTCACTTGTATTTTGTTAATCATAAGAGAGAGCAACTTGAACTCTGAATGGGCATTGCGTATTTGTTACACATTGAAAGAAACTGGATTAGATTTTCGTGGCAGACATATTAATAAAATTATAGCCGTTTCTCGATACTTTTGGTACGCCCTTCGTATCAGGGATCAATGGAGTCATGGTTCGAAAGCTCAAGTCTTATTTGTGTGATGATTTTTGGGCCAACCGAACTTCATCTTTGGGATGATTATGGTGATGACGCATAGGTCCCCAGACGCTTACCCATGGTGTCCGTACCGATCCATGGTGCCCCATTTAAAAATAGGTCTATGTAGCTGGAAAATGTAAATCCTTTGTACGCGGGCCTTCCATTGCTTCAGAGTAATGGATGGGTATTGGTATCCTCTCATCGAGTTGTATGCTTCCTCCTCAAACAGAACTCTCAGGATGATACAATTTCTCATACTTTCGATTCGTAGGAGACTTAATAAGGGTTTTAATTCCTATCATAGCTTCCGTTCCATTGTATAATAAATTGCGATTTCTCTGGAGGAGGAGGGGCAGGGCAGGGGGTGGGGGGAGTCGCTCCCTGGAACCGCCACTGATTGGAGAGGAGGAAACGTCTTCACACCATGGTTGCATTTCATCAAGGGCACATCGACCGTCTCTTTCATCGTAATTCATTCTCTAAGTTGCCTTTTCTTGTATATGGTTTTCATTTGTGTTTCTCCAATGAATGGCAGATCATTAAATGTTAACTCAGTTTCTCTTCAATGTTTTTAACGATTTGCCTTTGGTTTACCGCTGAGACCGAGGTGAGGGGTGTCTAGTCTCTCGGAAGGGAAGAAACCCTCTCTGCTTTCATTTTATTATTTCTTTTGAAGATTTGTGCATGGCCTTGGCCGAGCAAAAGAAAAAAAAATTATTTCAAAGGACTGTTAAAGAACAAATCAATCTATGTGAAAGACTCGCTTCTTGAAAACAGCTCCAGTGAGGGCAGAGAGTGAGAGGATACAAGTCATGAGTCATATTTTCCCCCATACCCTATATATGTACTACATATGTACTATCCCAACTTTAATGTAATCCATTTGCAAATGGAAGAGACATCGGGCAGGCCTCTGGACAGTCTCGACAGGCGCACGGGTAGCCTTCAGGTGTGTCCAACTGGAAGGAGAAAGAGGAGGCAGAAGGCG